GATTATATTAACCTTTTCTAATCTTTTATTTGTCAAGAGCCATGGGAAGGCTCTATTCTCTATTCTGTCCTTGGGACTTGGGTCTGGCCCTAGCTAGTTAATGATTATCTGGGACGTTGTCTAAGTCCCTTAGGTACTGCCTGTAACTCTTGACTTCCCTCTCCACATTATGTTTCTACTATATGTGGCCAAGTTTTACTGACTTATCAATGGTTTAATCTCTTATTTCAGGCTTTAAGTACTTGTTGAATTATTTGTAAAGCAATTTTTTCTCAATCACAAACTTTCCTTTTGATTCTTACTTATCACTTCATTACTTTGAAATGAAAATCTAGGTAACAAGTATTGACAAATTCTGAGATTCAGGGCCAGTGCGTTTTTTAAACTCCTCATTAAGGTGTCGCTGCTAGATTCTCAATTATTAAGTGTACTCTCCCCGAATGCAGCTAAGGACCTGCATCCTGCTTATCAGTGAGCTTATAATTGTATTCAGCTGCATTCTCTAACTACCAGGGGAGCTCCTTTGATACAAAAGTAAATCCTGTTGCATTCCATTATAAAAGCCTGCTGATTAAAAGAAGTTTAGCTTTTAAATTGGTCACCTCTAAATACAAATGTAAATGTGCTTTCCCCCAATGCATCAGATTCAGAAACTCTGCTATCTTCCAGTTTTCCTACACCTATATATTTCTAATTTAATTCTGCCTTTCCAGTAGCAATTTTATAAAATTTACCCGTAGTAGAGAGTTTCAGAGTTTCTAATAATCTCCAATGTTTCTAAATCTGTGCATCTCTTAAATGCTACCTAAGCCACCATAGAGACTAACCCTGGGTTGCCAACTGACATTTATGATTAGGCAGCTCTCCACTGTGGAAGCTGTGCGCATTTAAACAGTACCATTCTACAACAAAGACAGCCAACCACCGAGACGATCAAAAGTGTCTCCAGACATTGCCATATGTCCCTTTTAAAGGGCAAAATTGCCCTTGGTTAGAGCCACTATTTTAGACACAGTCCCAGCCTTAAGGAATATGCCATCTTGCAGAATTTGTCATTTGAAGTAGATTTGAGAAGTAGCCAGGAGGGAAAAAATTGTATAGGTGACAGGCAGTACAGTAGCTTTCATGTGTTGGTTCATTAATCCCTGCAGCCACTCTTGGATCAACTTATACTTATTTTTGCAGAAGACAAGTAATAAAAGTTGCTTTTCCAGAGTGAGATCCCGAAGCAGGAAAGTTATGTGTACGTTAAGACAACCATCCATAGTTCTACCTGATGGAAGTTTAGGGACCTCATCCTACAGCAGTAGATGTGGAAATTGTATAGGCAGATCAGGATCTAATGAGCAGGGTTCCAGTGTGTATCCAATTGCTCTTGTAGAGGGGCAGCCTTTGAGAAAGCGTAACTTTCTTGGCAGAGTCCTCACTCCTCCTGAAGTGATGCCCAGCATTTTAGCTTCCTTTCTACCACACCTCTTTAGAACTCAGTCCTGTTGAAAGCTGTTAGCAGTTTGCAGAAAAACAAAATAGTGTTTTCCTCTCTACTTAACTCTCCCTTGACTCATTTTCCCACTGTGCCCGCAGAGAGTGCTAATCCTGTACACTCTTCTCTCCTTACCCAACTTCACCTGGCACCTAAAGTAATCTACTCATTCTTCAAGACAAGATTAGTATATTAATTCTCCTAAGAGACGGCAGGTCATTCCTAGAGTAGATTGTAGGCTGGCATGCTTGCGACAAATCCCAGAGCCATAGAAAGGCTTTCTGAGAGAATACAGTGGGCAAAAGACAAGTGAGGCAACATTTTCTAAGAAGTGTTCAGAAAAGAACTGGGAAATAAGGATAAGGTTCAGAGAGGAGGAAAGGGGTCCAGGGCAGAGGCATTCTGACCATTTGAAGAGAAGCAATTGGGCACAAAGAATCAGGTTATTGTTACAGATCCGAGTTACTGTAATCAAAATGATTGGGACTGGCAGGATGGCTCAGCAGTTAAGAGCACTGATTGTCCTTGCAGAGGTCCCTGTTTATACTCCCAGCACCCACATGGTGGCTCACAACTGTGGGTAACACCAGTTCCAGGGGATTAGATACCCTCTTCTGGCCCCCACAGGCACTAGGTATGCATGCTGCACACAAATATACATGAAGGCAAAACACTCATGCACATAAAATAAGAATAAATAAAGCTCAGTCCCATGCAGGCTCCCTGGTGGGTGGTTCCGTCTCTGTGAGCCCCTAGAGCCCAGGTTAGTTGGTTCTGTGGGTTTTCTTTTGGTGTCCTTGACCCTACTGTCTCCTACAATCCTTCCTCTTCTTCTTCTACAGGATTTTCCAAGCTCTGCCTAATGTTGGCTTTGGGTCTCTGCATCTGCTTCCATCAATTGATGGATGAAGCCATTCTGATGACAGCTGGGGTAGGTACCAATCTATGAGTATAGCAGAATATCATTAGGAGTCAT